CTCTTATATCACTCTATATAGTATATACTCTATATATAATGTTTAACTAATCTAGGTTAATGGCCAAAATTGTTTACCGAGTAATCCAAAATCTTGAATAGATTCAGGATTTTAACGGGATTAGACTTTGATGGGACTACCTAAATTTATTAATATCAAAAGTAAAATATTTGGGTTGAGATAGTATTTAGGATCTATAGGTATAGTCTTTTTATACGATTTGTCTATGAACTGTAAGTTTATTCAGTAAATTTATAAATACCCACCTGTACCTACTTCTAAGTAGGTACATAAGTGGTTCATAATTAGAATGTAAGTACCTATGTATAACTTGGAAGGCCCCGGAGATATGTTGCAATCAACTAGTATATTAGGCATAGGAACTTTGGATAAGATTTTATGTAGTAATCACAAAATTAAACTGACCTTTTATCACAATATCAAATAAATGTGTGTGTCAAATATTGCAGCTATGTTTAGTTATCATAAGTACATATTGTAATGAAAACTTAATGTGTCAAATATTTTTGAGATTGATGTAGCGATTCTTATTAGCTATTATTAATAAAAAATAATAATACTGAAGTACCACATACAGGTTATTCGGTAACATGGTCGTGTGGGAATGAGTCGATGTTACACTTTTAAATGGGCTGACTACATAGTATTAAAAACATAATTATATCTACGACGACGTCGTGACTCGGTGTTTCCCAAAGATTGTTCAGCCATGGCCCAGTAATTTTAAACTAACTCCTTTTTGATCCGTAATAGCATTTAAAATAATTTTTCTTTTTACTTACACGCTTTGTCGACTATCTTGGAGATGCGATCATAAGCAGTAAAAACCTTTTTTATAATAAGGGGGGGTAGGGGGCATGGTTGCGACCCGGTATTTAGTATTAATATCGGGTCGCGACCCGGCATTAAAATTTGGGAAACGCTGACTATAACTTATACAAAGATAACCTAAGTATGTGTCTATTATTACTAAATATATACCTACTTATACTTATAATCTAGGATTTGAAATACTACGTACACATTAGCAAAGAACTGCGAAAATCAGTTTGATATTTATCTTCTATCAAGGTTTCGTGATTATAAAGCACAACCTTGATAAGTATACTTAATTATATTTAAATATAATATTTAATAATTATCGTACTACTGACATTTTTTATATTTACTTATGTGATGTAGTGTATCATTATGATGACGACATTTTTGATAGGAAAAAAGACTGTTTATTTTACGATTGTTTATTAGAGGAGTAAGATAATTCGGTCAAAACTTGAAAATTATACTCACAAGTCAAGTTATTACACTCGTATATATTAATAATATTTAAATCAATTTAATCAATATAATTGTCGTGAAAAATGTTATTAATGAGTATTCCTATAATGATATATTTATATATTAAGCAAGATCTCGACAACATAACGCCAAAAATTGGTCGTTTAACTTTCAATCTTAAACTTTTGTGATTAGATTGAATATCTTTTAAATGTCGAGACTACATAAATCTAGTAGCATTCATTGTCTTCATTAATCATTATTGTCGTACTTACTATATACCACTATTATACATTATTAATATTATGAATAGGTTAATACTCCAATAATTAACACTCCGTATTAGAATTTGTCGTAAAATAATAATATCATGATATCGATTTTCTTCAATGGATGTATTAATGTAACACAATAGCGTACCCTATTCTTATAGCTTATCTGCGGGGACACGCAACATAGTTTGTTTTGCTGACCTGTGACTTATGTACAGGGTGTAAACGGAATGCCAACAGGTGATGGTAAACACTATTTGTAATAATATTTGTAATCAGCTGCTTGAAGCTGATCTTGCACCAATAACACAAAAAACGATTAAAGTTTTAAAAACAATTTAATTTTGTCATCGTTTCGGAGCCGTTCCATTTACAGCCTGTATATGTATATGTAAGGCCTTAAGAGCCTAATTTTATTATATACTTACTTGATGTATAACTCAATATTTATGCGTAATATGTATCCATATAATAGAATTGATCAATAAATAAACTCTTATATATCTGAAAATGTGTGTTTTCTTTTAAATATTCCTATTAAATATCAACCATCTATGTATAGAAGATACCTGCTCTAATAAGTCTAGTCTTTTAATAGGATTTTCATAAACTTAAACCTTTTTTGTCACCTTTTTATCTCTTTATCTATTTGCTCCCAGTTTTGGCCACTAACTAATACTAACTCTACCTTCTTTGCCCAATATTATGATTCTGCCGTGCCTTGGTCATGCAGATGATCATGGTTAACTCAGCTCCTTTTTTCCTATCATCTGCTAATTTTTATGTCCTACCGCATCTGTCCTCCTAAACCTAAACTTCTAACCTATTAGTGGGTGGGTAACCTATCAGTACATATTATAAATAATAAAGGCCGTACGGACCTGTTTTACTACTAATAACCCACGTGGTTGTAAAGTTCTCATCAATATAAATTAATCAAGCCCAAGCAATAGGTAGATGCTATTAACCATTGAGGAGTTCCCTTAACAATCATACCTCTTCATCTTCGGACCCTAAATGACAATCCAGCTTCATCTAGGTGTAAAATTCTTATAATTAAAAAATATTCAAGCGCAAACAAAAGATAGTTACTGTAAACCGTTGAGGAGTTCCCTTAAAAATTACACTTCGTCATCATCAGACCCTTAATGACAGTTCAGCTTCATCTAGGTGCGAAGCTCCCATCAATATAGATTAATCATGCACAGACACAAAGTAGATACTGTAAACCGTTGAGGAGTTCCCTCAACTGTCTGCCGGCTCCATCATTAGATCGACTCCAGACCCTCATAATTTGAACCTTAAAAATATTTATTGAAAAAGATAAAAGACGTATTATTCGCCCCAACAATTTCCGAAAGTTTTCCTCGGTTTCCCTAGGATCCCACCATCATTAGATGCTGGACCAGGATTTCCTCACCTGCTGAAAATGGGACCCGCTCGGGAGTAAAACGTATCAAACAAACGGCGATGCTGGCAGTGACCAAACAAAATAAAATTATTCGAACATAGTAGGTATAGCCCACTAGTAGCGAGAGCATGGTCCAACCTAATAGGTTTTAGGGCTGGGATAGAAACCTCCTCCATGATGCATCCCTCATTAAGCATTTTAGGGAGAATTGCCTCCTAAATCCGGACCTTGATCCATCCGCCTAACGGAAACCTCCTAAGGTGATTGTCGAGGCTGTTAGAAATTATCCCATTGGGCGACACGACTATCGGCACGCTGATAGCCTACTCCATATTCCACATATTGACAACCTCATGAGCTAAGTCAGGAAAGTTAGTATTATTAATATACGCGTTGTTGTTCTGGAGGTGTGTATTATATTGTGGCGCGATCGTCTGACTCTGAAATTAGTCTCGAGCGAGATTTGCGAGAGAGTGGACACGTCGCTCTGCGCTCCACGTGACCTACTGATCTTTCTCAAGCTTTCAAGGGTCGTGCCAGTTTAAAAAGTGAACACAAGGTATTGATAATAGGATACTTTCCTAAATTTTATTTTAATATCTGTCTGGTAGATTAATTCAAAACATTAGACACGTATTTATTTTTCACAAAATTTAATACTTTGACGATATATTATTATTTGAAATATCGTGTGACTTAACAACCCACTATCGTACGTATCGTGTAACAACCTCCCACTCCTAAACTTAACTCCATTTTATCTAAGTATTGTAACTTTATACAAGAAAATAAAAAAAAATACGTGTCTAATATTTTTTCATTATTTTAACTGATAGACTAATTAGATTATTTATTTCCATACTCTGGCCTGCTGCACCATTTTTTGTGTCGTATTCATAGCTTTTGAGGGTGCCAAAATAGCGCTCATGGTACCAACATAATAAAAACCACCCAAGATGTAAAGGGCGCAGCGCTAGTGCTCCAACTCAAGAGATCACAATATCAATGTCAATCGATCGGAATTGGATTCAAGAATAAGCCCCTAATTGTATTGGATTTGTTACCGGGCCACGAGACGTTTAGAAGATGACAAAATATAAACAAAAGAAAAATAAACAAAAGATCTACTAATTAGTATATTAAATAACAACTTTCTCAGTCATTAATTTGCCTGATTGCCTGAAATATTAAAGTATTTAAAAATTGCATTCAAATTACCACGATATTTATAAATAATACTACCAGAATAATAATTTACAAGAAATCACCACGCTCAGTGCAACTTAAATTCTTAAGAATAGTCAAAATAGAGCTTTCGACAAAATAAATATTTTTTGTCGAACAAAGGGATCGGCGATGTCTTGTTCTATAAGTCCCATTACAAGATAATGCTTTTGTAAAAATTTCCATTGTCTATTGTAATCGTGCGCAATAAACATGGTATTTTTTCTTTGTTTGTAAAGTTAAGGGAACTTTACTAGCTCAAGACAGTCAGTTAGTCAGATAGTCGCAACCAAGGTAGACGTCACGGAGCGCTTTAAACATAAGCAAGCTTCGAATTTCTTTCGGTAAGCCTTTATATATTAATTTGAATTATTTAGGAAGTCAAAACTCAATGTCTCATGGAAGGTTTTGCTTATGTTCTAACTGTAATGGGCCCAGTAAAGAAACAGCATTCTTAGAATTCTTCATTAAATAATTAGTTAATTAAATAAGTTACATAATTAATTAATTAACAATTAACGAATTATTAAAAATAACGACTTATTAAAAGAAATGATGATTTAATTGTAACCACATCATGATAGTCTTATGTTTAATATTGACCTTTGTGTGTATCCAACCAACTTTATCGTCAGTAGGACGTACCACAATACAACCAGGTACAGTACTTCACTGACTTGATTAATTTTAATATAATTTTACGCAGATCATCTTGAACAACCGATTATCACAAATAAGTCTCTTCTACAAGAACCTAAATCACAAAGAAACAGCAAACAATATTGAAGAAAGAAATGGAAGAAAGGGCAGAAACTGTAAAATCACCGGAGACTGTGAAGGTTGAAGATTTGCTAGCTAATTATTATTGTAAGAGGGCGCTTGGTCTCCGCGTCCCTGACCAAAGTGACCAATCTGCATCCGTAAGTAACAAATACAATTTGACTATTTCGTCATTTTACGATTTGGTGTTATACAATCCAATAAATCCTGAATTACTTACAAGTATAATAGAAATTGGTATATATACAAGTAATCCATATATAACATTTATTTGTGGTGTTTTTATACCTATAGTACAGTGTCCAATTTAGCTTAACATCAATTTATTTTTTGTTTGAATCCAGGTTCCAACTGACAAAAATGACGAAAATGAAAATAACTCCAATAACGATGAAGATAACAATGACGTTATTAAAGAAGATTCCAGTGCATCCAATACTGCCTGTTCGCCACCAGAACCTCCCGTTTGCTCGAAGGATACTGCATCGCCGGAGTAAGTAATACTGCGAGACAAAACATACCAATGTTGCTTTTCGAAAAAATATTAATCTTTAGCATGTGGCTTTAATTTATTCTTGGAAAAAGTCTTATTTATGTATCTTGATATATTTTTTTATTACAGAATATCCAAGAACTCCGAAACTATCCAAGAAAATTCAGTTGATTCTGGAACAGATTCTGTAGTTAATGATCCAAATACTAATGAGGTATCAAATCAAGATTCTGCTGATGAAAGTTCTACGGAAGATGAAGAACCTGCAAATATGATGTATATTGCTTACCCACCACATCCTGACAATATATACAGGTGTAGTGTCACTCTTGTTTATGAAGCATTTTGGTTCTCACTTAATATTTTATGGGATGAAAATACATATCGGCTTTATGATGATATGTTGGTAGAGATCCAGGATGATATTCCGAATCTGTCACCGCTGAAAGAAAAGTATCTATATCAGAATAAACCATGTATTGCAATATTTCCAAAAGACGGTCTATGGTATCGGGCAGCGGTGTTACATTATAACAAAAGAAAAAGTATGCTTAAAGTATTGTATGTTGATTATGGTAACATTGTAGATCTCCCGGTAGCTGATGCAAGAGAGATCAGTATGAGATGGCTACAGATTCCTCCTGCAACAATGTTTGCAAAATTGTATGGCATGCAGTTGAACTACGACGTAGAATTTAATATTTTAGCTAAATATTATTACAAGTTTGTGTTGTTAACTGACGGAATTTTCCAGGTCAATGTTATGGATTATGAGGGCACAGTACCATTAGTTGAGCTTAGAAATGAAAATGGTGATTTGACATACAATAAATTTATACAAGATAATATATTTATACCCCTTAGATTCCTTGGGGCGCCAAGGGGGTAAAAATTCACTATTTTGGCACTACTGAAACGTCTTTCTTAGGTCCTATTCTTTTTAGGTAGAACACTACTTAATAACGTAACAAATGAATTAAAAAAAACATAAGTAGCTAGAGGGTACGTCGCGATTATTGTGTGTAAGGGTCGTTGACACCCCAAATATAAATGGATGTGTAATTAGTAAAGGTCGTAATAACATTATCATATTTATGTCTTAACAAAAATTAGGATAAGAGAATAGTAGCCTAAAATAAAAAATGTATTATTAAATTATGTTGCGTCTTTGGTTTCTTATATGTATTATATTTCCTACTTATCTCTATATGTATATATATGTACAATTACTTATATGTACAATTCTCCTACTTATCTTTCCTCATATTTCCAGTATGTGAGCGCTAACCATAGCAAATACCTCCGTTCTTCTAATAATCTTCTGTTACAATGTCTCACACATCGAACTGACTTCCTTCACTCTTCTTTTTTCGTCCAATCTATCCTGCTGTGGAATGCGATGCCCACGGATATCAGGACGGCGACCAGTCGTCTGTCCTTCAAATTTAAGGTTCGTGAGTATCTACAGAAGAGGCTAGCAGACTCAACACACACTTAGGTCTTGTTCGTATTTATGTATATATATGTGTATAATTATGTATGTATATATGTTATATTATGTTATGTATTTTCCTTCGTATATTTAGGTATATATATGTCCTATACTTATTTGTCTACTGTTCGTTTTGCATTACGTATATATTTTATATTTAATTAGTATATATTGTATGATATGTATAATTATATATGATGTTAATTTTAATGTTAATGTTAATCATATGTAATGTTAATTATTGTGTCATTCTAATAAGTGTTAAACGTTTACACCTAATATTGTGTCTCTCTGCATCACCCTAAGGTTGACTGTTAGAGAATGCCACTAGGCATTAAGTCCGCCATTGTTTATATACAAAAAGTGTAAATAAATAAATATATTCTCAGAAAAAACATTTTGTCATTAGAATAACTGCCTGTTTCAACAGCTGAAAATGTACTCTATAATTTTTTTATCTTCTATCATGAAATAAATAGAGGTATATCAAATGTGTAAGCACGTTCTTTTATTGCTTTTCATAGCTTTACTATTTCGTTTGTTTTAAAGCGATTTTATATCAAACTACTGCCTCGTCGGCGGAGTGGTCGGAAGTGCGACCGGGTACCATTGAGTTCTTTTTTAATTTCTAAAATCTCAGTATTAGCGGAGTCTGGAATAGTGCCCGGTATATGGCAATAGGCTCACCCCGTAAAATATGGGATTCATAACATAAATAGTGAAAAGTGGGTTTTATATTGTACAATGGCATTAAGTGCCGTAATCTGCATCTCTGCCAACCCCTTCGGGGATAACAAACAGTATACCACTTGTGAAAGTTACTTTGCAACCTAAAGAAAGACTGCACATTGCCGCATGGCGCGCCCACTGCTTGGTCCCCGCGTAGGCCGCTCGGTGCCACCTACAGGACCGTGCTGTGGATTACAGCTTGCTTGAGATTACAGTAATGTATATCGTAAAAAAAAATCTGAAGTTCAATTCTGTTTATAAATATTCTACGAATAACGTTTACTCTTGCAAAACACCATTATTACGAGGGCGCTACTTGTACTGTATTGACATTTAGCGCTTCGCCCTCAGACTCCGCCCTGCGTTTTGGTTCTGTTTCCATAAAAAAACAGAATGAGTATTCTGATCATATGACTCACTTATAAATTAGCATTCTACTCGTGAAAGAATTGGGCTCGCTGCCATCGCAGCGGTAAGTCCCCTCTTTGAGGAGTGGCTTGAGAGACGCTACGGCGTCCTCACCTACCGCCTGACGCAGGTCCTCAACGGACATGGAAGTTTCGTGAGGTACCAGTGTCTGATGGGGCTGGAGGAAACGCCCGGGTGTCATCACTGCGAGGACCGCCCTGAGGACACGGTGGAACACACTGTAGCGGAATGCCCTGCGTGGGCTGAGCACCGCCGTGCCCTCAGGAAAGTGATCGGCGATGGTGACCTCTCGCGCCCGGGCCTAGTGCGGGCCATGATGCGGAGCGAGGGGGACTGGGATGCCGTCTCCTCCTTTTGCAAAGCAGTCATGCTAGCTAAGGAGGAGACGGGACGCGTGAGGCAGCGAAACGCTGCCTCCTCGCAACCCAGCCATCGCGAAGGACACACCGGACGTCGGGGATCGCGAGACGATCTCCGGCCACCGTAAGCGCGGGCCTGCGGACGGCGAGCATGGGTGGCTCCCCGTCCGACCAGAAACAGACCCGAGCGTACGGCGCGTTGCGTTCCGCGCGCGCCTCAAAGAGCCATCAGACCACCACAGATGGGGCCCAATAGGGCCGATGCCGATTCGGAGTCGCGGAGAACCTAACGGGTAACCGGGGCTCCGGCTCGACGTGCAGGAGAAGAAACGGGGTGGTTTTTAGTCAGTTAGAGTCTGACACTCCCTTCCACCTCACCCAGGCGGGAGCAGGCATTCGATGATTTTCCCCACTTAAAAAAAAATCGTGAAAGAATTATGAAAATCAGTAGCTACTAACTTATTCCAGTAATCAACAAAACAACGAATTATTTTCTTTGATGTCAGTCCTATGTTTCTTTTTATATGTTTGGCTTTAAATTTCGTATCGCAAACAAACATCTTAACTTTTGCATTAACAATATTATTTTTTGTATTCTTATGAAACAATAATTATGAGAGCTCGGTAAGCACTTCACGGTGACTGTAGTAGCCTGCGTTTTTGTTCTGTCCGTAGAAATAGCAAATAAATATTATCGTCATGTTCTCCGTGTTGTTTTCCAATAAAGTAGCAATCTATGCGAAAGAATTTGAATTTTGGAAATCGGTGGGATTTTGAGATAATCCAGTAATGAAACAAGTAATAACGTTTTCTGATATCGGTTATATTTATGGTAAAAAACTCTATCACAATTTTGACGCAAACTTGTTAAATTAAAGGTTTCCATAACGCTGATGACAGTTTAGACCAATACAGATATGTACAAAGTTAAATAACAGTATACAGTTACCTAATTACGATTAGAACTGGCTGCACAGGCTGGCTGCGTACAGGGATCGCGCCATAGTTTACAGATAGGAAGCTGTCGTATGTAGGAATATATTACAACATTGATGTATTTTAAACAAACGTCTTAAATTCGGTATTTCAATTTGCCACTGATAAAATATTCTATTTGATATTATCTCGTGCGACACAACAACTACGCCGTTTGTCACGTAGCATTGTCACTGTTTTGGTCGCTTGAGTTTTGCTGTTATTCCCTTAGAAATCTAAAATAAATATTGTGATCACGCAATTCTCTAATAGAGTAGCATTTTATACGTAAAGGAATTTTTAAAATCGGTTAGTTTTCCTGCTAACCCAGTAATCAAACAAGCAGTAAATATTTTTACTGATATCGGATAGTTTATAAGTATTTTAGTTTTTTAAAATACCCGTAATATGTAAATATGTAACATGGAGATTTAGTTTGTTCTTAATAATAGTTTATAAATAGTTATAGGAACAAACTAAATTTCTATGACATGACCACTTATGAGTACGAATATCAATGAGTTATGAATTTATAAAGTTAGTTGTAGTTCTTATATATGGCTAAAACCAACACATAAATTACATGTACTTATGTGTCATCTCACACACCACAGCATGCTGGCACTGCGTGTACCGTTGGGCGCGCGGACACGGCGCTGCGGCTTGCGGATATGACAACGCCGTGATATGAAATTACGGCGTTGATATATCATAACATATTGTTGATATATCACGACTGCCTTGTTGTCCACGTGGTCGAAAGTGCGACTACCGGGCAAGGGGTCTCGGGTTTGATTACCGGTCGGGCAAAGTATTAATAAGTTTTTAAAAAATCTCAGTAGTAGCACGGAGTCTGGAATTGTACCCGGTATATGGCAATAGGCTCACATGGGACTCATAACATAAATAGTGAAAAGTGGACTCATAACATGAATACTGAGGATTTCACTTTGTTACCCATACTTTAGGAATAAAGTAACTCTGCTGTTCACTGCACTCCTAGTACCAGAAAACTCCGCGCCATTCCGATCGACCAACTCGTCGCACGACACGCTGAATTTCAACGACTGATAAACATAGAAAGTATCGTACGTAAGTATTCGACTTGTGATATGGCGGAGATACGAATATCCAGTGGACGTTGTGTATTGTTTCCATAATTCAAATAATTAATAAACAAAGAAGTGTATAGGAGGTACTTCAGGTACCAAGGGTAAACGCACGGGTATTCAGGTACCCATGTTTAATAAAAATGAATCATTCACCATCGTTGGGTCGGTTGAGTCCACAAGCTCTATAAAAGTAGAAACACTAATACGGCGATTACAGGCAACGTTCTTTGTTATTTATTATACTTATTTACTTTTTCTAATGATAAAATAATAGGAAATACCATTTGTTTATGCATTATTCGCGCGCTACGGTGCTACGAGAAGTACAAATATATCAAACCACATTTTCATCTAACATTTATGGAGCGGAGTCGTTTCGGCCAATAACAGGAAGGGATTTCGTTGACTAGTACCAGGCGCACAGTTTCCAACAGAGGTAGCTTGGTACTTATTTTACAACTTTGTTAAGCATTGATATTGGGGTCAAGGGACTCTCCTTACGATACTATAATGTAGGGATCAGGAAAACGGTTCAGACAAAGTTGTTACTTACGTTTCAGATGAAAATGAATAAATATTTATGATATCTTAAACATTTTTAAGTACCAAGTTCTCTTGATTAATTTTTTTTTAACATTCAAATTCAAATTCAAATTCAAATTCTTTTATTGCATATCATGTGTACAATTGGTGTTATATGAGGTACAGTATCAACATGAAACCCGGCTAGGGCACGGCAACATATAAAGCAAAAATATAATCTAATTAAACTACTATCAATACTTATTATATT